TCAGTCAGTCAGTCAGTCAGTTAGTGGCCCCGGTCCGCTGCGCCTGCGTCCGCCTCCACAGCTCTCCAAAGCCGAGACGCGCCACCGCCGCCGCCGATGCGGGCATGACATACTGGCAGCAGTAGTGGGCTTCCGTCAGCCTGCCTTTTGAGCAGATTACAAAAGGAGAGGAAGAGACATAAGAGTAGAAGAGAGTGAAGTGACTCATTCCTACCCCTGCCGTGTGTCGAGAAGAGTAGATGAGTCAATGGCAGGGGCACAGCCTGGAGTTCATGCGCTGCAGCTCAAGCCAGTGTCCGTTCCCGAGAGCCTAAGAAAGGGCAACAAATTTATGAAATGGGATGATGTAAGTAACGGCGAGAGCGGCAGTGAATGTCTAATTTTTGTTCACTGGCGGATGATTTCTGCACGCTTTATTTGCATGCATATGCCACTGGGGTGTATTACACAATCTATAGGCTACTCATGCAACAGTAGCTAATAGATTTAATTGTCAATGGAGAACCGCACTGAGAGGGGGGCTGCCTGCCCCTGGCTCGCTGGTTTTCATCCGATATAGAAATGCAGCAGCTTCTAGTGTTTATACTGACATGTGCTTTGTTTACATTTCCCCAAAATGTGTGTGTTTGTGCGCGCGCGAGTGCGTGCACGCGGCTTTAACAGTGCTTGTGTCTGAGAACGTGTGCACCGCTCATAAAATCAAACTGAACATTTGAATGAAGCTCGCCCCTCCCCCTTCTCTGTAAACGCTTTTTAAAAATAAATAAATAATAATCAATTAAAACCATTTACTACAATTTATTAGTGTGTCGGGGTTCAACGTGCGGATCGCAGTGTCACCACCAAGCAGGAGTTGAATAACCTCTCTGCTGTTTTTTGTTGTTGTGTTATTGTTTCCGGTACTACTCACAGTGTAGCTGTAGTGAAATGACCTTGATTAAAATTGATTGCACGCTGCTGTTGAGTAGCTGGAGAAAACACAACAGTAGTAGCCTTTCAACAGACAGCTCTGGCGCACTGCACCTTCCCCCAATAACAAATCAACACATGCTTCTAATAATCCCGTTAAGAGAATGAACCTAATAATTGATGCACTTAAAATAGAGTTTCAACTGTGTGACCTTATTGCACTTAATGGGTTATTTTCATCTCCTCTGCTGTCACCATAATAGCTCTCTGTATTCTGAAAGGGACTTTTTGTGATATTTGTTTCACACCTTTCCACAGCCCATCTTATTTGAATAACTGCATGCATTCCTCAGGTTTCTCCAAACCTATTTATTGAGTGAGCATTTGAATATGAGCACAGTCATGATCACTTTCATTCTGAGAAGTGGGTTGCTCTTTTCCCTCACTGGGAATGTGGCTGGCTGGAACTGTTGTTTGCAATGAGTTAACTGGTAAAGTTTCTGTCTTGTGTGAAAGTATTGATAAAATGAAATTCAAATCTAATTAAAGAGGAAATTGCATGTAAATCATACATGGAGGTTAGCATAGGCATTCCGGTGTTAATAAACTGTGTGTAATAAACTGTGCTGCTATGATAGTTGTGTATAAGTGGCATTTTGAAATTCAACTTAATGAGATCATACTAACAAATACACAGTGGACAAATCATATTCACTGAACCCAGGTGAGTCAAGCACAGCACAGATGGCATGAGTGGATGAGTGTTATAAGAGTGTGAATTTGTCAGTACAGATAGCAGAGAGGAAATTATGCACTGCTGCAAACCCACCACTCTGTCAATCATCAATCTTATGCCTAAGTAAGAGAGCTTGCCTATTTCCTTAACTAGTAATTACTAATGAGTGCTCACCCCTTCAGCTCTCTGGTTGGTATGCTGTGAGAAAGGGGGTGTGTGAGGTGTGCAACTGTTTCCCCTAACTGCTGTGTTTGTGTACTGTAGTTTGTACATGTGGGCCTATCTCCAGAACCAAATGCCCACCAGGCCTTTCCTGTAAAAACACAAACCCTCGAACACGGACGTACGCACAGATACTTTTTCTGTTTAATTTCCCATGCACTCCTTCCTTCCTCTTTCCTCTTTGTATCATTCCTGGAAAGAATTACACAGGGATAGAGAGATAGACTTTGAGAGAAAAAAGCCATCATAAATTGTCAGTGAAAAAGGTTTGAATTAAATAATTTTCTACTTATCATAGCTTCAGATGCTGGGCTCCACTCTCTGGATTTTTTTTTGTTTCAGTGAAAATGACTTTAATTCATTTGATTGTGATTGTGATTTTGTCCCACTGCTAAACACACGGTGGCAACAAAAAAAAGGTGCTAAGTTTTGTTTACTGTGTAAGAGTGGCATACTGTGCTGTATGAACAAACAAGCCATGTTGAGTGTTTCAGGAGCAAACTGTCTGAAGTGCTAGGTGCTACGTGGTTGACTGTTGGAAAAGAACAGAAGAGCAATCCGAAAGCCTCTTCAAATGTTTGTGAAATCCTCGAAAGTCCCAAACCTCCCAAACTCCCACGCACATACACATACCTTGTATTTTGGTTGCTGGTGCTTGCAGACAACTGGCTGCTGCAGTGGCTCTTGAAGTGCCTTGTTGTGGTTTAAAATATTACCTGGATTGTGTTATTATTCGCCAGTTAGTTCAAATGGCACATTCAGCACCAAGGGGAGGATAATGCTGCTTTCTGTTAATAGAGAGTGGAGGATAGGCAGGAATCCAAAGCCTCTAGGAAAGTGACCCTCCGTCTTAAAGATCACTGACAGCAACTGGCAAGGTATGAAATATGTGAAAGATGACGCCGGGTCCTTGTAAACAGAGATTTTTTAGAAGCTTATGTTTATATAGCCCTTTTGGTCTGGAGTGTGTTGAATAAGATATCATCAGGCTCCGCAGGGGAGCCTAAAATCCCTTAAAAGTAGTAGAATATGTCATTAGCATACAGAACAGAAATATGCTGAGCTCAAATCTCCTCTCTAACACACCCCCTCAGGTGATGGCTAATGGTACAAACTCTTCATTCTCCTGCCTGGAATCGTTTCCCTCAGGGGGTGTGTACTTTCGCAAGTCAGTCACTAATCTCATCTTAATTCAACCAAAAGCATGCCGCTGCCGCCTAATGTCTTCCCATTAACGAAAAATTCTCAGAATAGTCAAATGACAATAAAAACCACGAGCAGTGCCACTCCAGAGGTAGTAATCTCAGCAAATCACCGTGAACTCTAATCCACAATGTTATAAGTACTTGTGTTTTTCGTAAATGGGTAGACCCATGAGAAAATCTTTGCTAAGAGTCCGTAATGGCTTAATGTGTTTGTGGTGGTGGCCATGGAGAGTAAGGACATTAAGAAAGACGCTGGTGAAAATGACTGCTCTCACATCATTAGGTAGATTCCCACTGCTCTCAAGCCATCTAATTTTTTCTTCTCTGACATGACAAACAATCCATCAGTTGCCACGTCTTTCCCATCGAGTGAATTCTTGATTCGATTTGTTTGCAATATAAATAGTTTATTGTAAAAAATGTTTAATCCAACTAAACATTTTATAAAGTTTTCCAGGGGTAATGATGGCTTAATGGAAGATAGGAAAGCAGCATTAATCTGCAATAAGCTAAACTGGAGAAATTGGATTGTGGGTTGTAACTTGAGTGAAGATCCGAGATATGGGGCTGCAGTTAGTATGAGACGCTATATCTAAGAACTGCGAACATGAGGCTTTTATCCTGCCCTCAGGCTGAAAGCACTGTGTGTGAATGCTGCATGCATTCAGTGGTATGAACTGAGTCTTTTGTCATTCAATCAAGCCTGCAGAAATTGTGCAATCATGTGAGCAGAACCAAAACAATTCCCCTTGAGTCTCTAATAGATCTCACAGGGATGGCAAACGTCACTATTGCAAATGCTTCTGATGCGACATCGAACGAGACGCTCGTTTACTTTACGTTCACTTCCCTTGTTTCTTTGTTTCTCTTTTCTCTGTTTTTTCAATTGCTCCATGGGTTCATGAAGGGGTGGAGATCAGTATTGGTCTGTAATGGAGCAGGTGTGCTAGGTTCAATAAACTGACATTTTTTTTTAGGCAGTATGAAATGATTTCAGAGTACTAATAGTTCTCTACACCTCAACACAGACTCCTCCGCTGTCTACCAGCTCCCAGGTCAACCCAACACTGCAAGTTGCAAAGGGTCGCGCCCAAATATGACAAATATATGAAGTGTGTAGCAGATGCAGACCATTAACTCTGTCTCCCAGTGCTGTGACAGGGACATCATTAGAAGCCTCCAGAAGACACTTTGAAGATTTTCTTGCTGTGTGCAGCAAATGCGGTTTCCATTTCTCTGATCTCACAGCCATGGCTGATTGAGGAGGACAATATGCTACTGTTCGGCTGTACCACGGCCACTGTGGACACAAAGCAAAAGCTCTTTCTTTTTATAGAACCATCCAATAATATCTGGCGTTGCCATGTATGCCTCAGGGTCAAACTATGTGTGTCTGTGTGTGTGTGGTGTGTGTTGTGTAGTGTGTGTGTGTTTGTGTATGTGAGGCTTGGAGCCGGCTGTATGTAGGGAACTGTGGGAAAGCATTTGTCTGTTACAAGAGGGGGAAATGGAAACATCAGCTGTGAATCAACCTGCAGTTCATGATTGTAGTCGTCTCAAATATACACACTCACACACCACGCTGCTTGGTCATTTGTGGTGATGCCAGTTCATGATGGGGAAAGTACCCTAGAAGGAAAGGATTGTGTGCATGCTTACAACATAAACAGTACTTTTAATGTCATTTTCGATTCTGGTATGAATGTGGTATTGTAAAAACTAGACTTTGATCCTAAGAAATAAATTGGTTTACCCAGAGAGTATTCTGCCATACACACAAAAACACACACTCATGTAAAAACACAGACAGGGAAACACTGACATAATGTCTTATATTGTTGTTTTCCTCCAGGATTCTACCACTGTGACCCCAGTGACTCTAACTGTCGACCCCAAAGGTTACTACCTGTATTGGACCGACCAGAACAAGGTGAGACACTGCTTGCACTTGTAAATCACGCCAACTTTTTAGTTTTTAGGCTAATTCAGATCAAACCAGGAATCCCAAATTTAAAGCTTATTAAGCACCAAGTTACCACATGGGAGTTTATGCTCCTTCGAGCCTAGATTCATTTAAAGTCATCACATTAGCAGTAATCCATCTCAGTTTTGAAATTTTAAACATCTAATTAGCTCAATGCAGTGGCAAAAGTAGCATTGAAATGAAATGAATGAGGAACTATGTGTTTTTCTACAGTGCCATTGTCTGCATAGTGAGTAGGGAAGGAAGTAGAGTCCAGCCCATTTAAGTATAAGGAGCTTTGTTATCCACTAGCTTGTTCACACCCTGATGACTGGCACGGGGAAAGTGCCAATGCATCAAAGTACTTTCTGTTTTGTTATTGCCATTTGTGAATGTGAAAAATGCCTATCTCTCTTGTTTCGATTGACATGAATGTGATCAGTTGTCAGCAGAAGATAGAGAGGCAATTGACTGTATCTGCAGGCAGAATGGAAAAAATTAGAATAGATCTTTGTGTTTACAAACCTTATACAATATAATCTTGCCTTACAACGCGGGTCAGGTCTTAGATAATTCATTTTTGAATGATTAGTATTTGAATACATGTTGCTGTGGAACGTTACTGTGCTTCAGGCTTGAAAAGCTGTTATATTACCACAGCAAGGTATCATTTGTCCACACACATTGTTCACAGTCGCTTGAAGCTATCTAACTTTATTATATACTGCTGTCATTGCACGATCCAGTACTCATAACAATGCCAACGCCATTAGAGGTATTTGGTGGCTATGTTAGGCGTTCAGTTGTAATAATTATGATAGTACTCGTAGGATTATTAAAGAAGGATCGGAGGCTCTCTGGTAAATTGGAAATACATATATTTATATTTGGCTCAATTTTCCATTGTGAGGCTTTACAGACTGCAGTTAGCTTGTGTTTAATTTTGACATGTTTGATGTTTTAAGGTATGAGTGATTCCCAATTAGCTTGTTTACTTTAGCAATTTTTTAATGTTTGATGGACACTGACCCATCTTTCATTCATAATCTTAGTAGCACACCAGCAAGTGAGGTTCTAATTTAAGCCTGTAAAAGAGCAGTGCTGGAAAAGAGAAATCTGAACTGCTGCACCTGCAGTGCTTAATTTGACACCTGTGAGAATATTCCATAGTGCATTGTGTGTTTGTTTTCTCCTCTCCAGTTATGGCAAAGACTCATAATAACCAGGAACAAGATTGTGAAATATAAGATACTAGATGTTATCAGACCCACTCACCTTGTCAAGCATATGACTTACTCTAAGTTTAACCTTGCAAGTGTGTACATAATTTGCAGGGGCTGTTCTAGCTTCATCAAGTTGTTGTTTGCTCAATTTTTTTGTACTTACAGCTGTAGTACAAGTGTGCCTGTCTAGTGCCTCTATTCTGTAAAATCCAATCCAACTTCAAACAGCTCGACAGGCGTAATGTGTTCCTGTTCTATTTGCGTGTATAACTGTATCAGCAAAGGCAGTCAGAGGTAGACTAATTAATAGCTACCATTGATTTTATGTTTGCCGAGATGAGGGTATTTCACTGCAGCCATACCAGAGCATAGGCAGGAGTGCTGACCGAGACTCTACCTCTGTACACACACCTCGATACACAAAAATGCACATGGACATATGTGAGTGTTCCTGCTACTCCTGTTTGGTAACAGAGAAAGGATCCCGTAACTTCTGCTGTAAATTAATGCACTATATGTAGAAAGAGAGGGGATGTCTTCGGGGCATATGTTCAGTTCTAAAACTGAAAAAAATAAATAAATAAATAAACAATGAATGAGGAAAGACTTCCCTTTCTGGAAAGAGAGAGACAGACAGATATAAAAAGAGAGGAGCACTTTTAATGTCTGGCTGGCTTGTGTGTGTGGAAAGGTGTGTGTCTGTGGTCAGAGATAACAAGCACTGAGTGTAATTCTCCACTAAGAGAATTGAGAGAGGCTCTTTGGCATCAATTCGTCATTATTTCCTGTCTCTTTGTCATAAGGCGAGGATTTTGAATGATGAGGCTTTTGTGCGTGTGTGTTTACGTGTGTGGGTGTCTGTTCTGTCTCTCAGCCTTGAGAGCAGTCCTGCCGCACACATAATAACTCAAATTGATACCAAGCACAGCCCGGACAAAACTCTATTAGGGCATAAAGAAAGGCACCCGCTATATTCGTCAGGGCCGCTGTCAACACAAATGTGTGTTTGTATGTGTTTATAAGGATGTCTTGTCTCATGTTTTCACTTACTCATGATGGTATTGCACATCTGTTCACCAGACCAATTTAAACAAGCTACGATGCTGTGTCCAGTTGTTATGTGTGTGTTTGTTAGAGACTCAGTCTGATGGCCTGCAGAGTAAAAGCATTCTTTAGATTCTTCAGAAGCACAGCAGAACTGTACTCAGTGTGCCTACTGCGCTCACTTTCAAACACACACTGTCACTGGTGGATACAGTTTTTACTATTGACTGTAGGCCTTGGAACCGTTTAACATTGCAGAAGACTAGTTTTATATTTGAGAAGTATTTCCTCATTTTAAAGAAAATAATAATACAAATATTTTTGTTATTGACTTGTGTTACCATACCATTTTAAGGCTATTAATAGTGTGTGTCAGAGCTGTGAACTCCCGTGATATGACTTGAGTCATTAATTTCTGATTACTTTAGACTTGCCTTTACAAAATCAGAAAGGACTTGCAGCTAGACCTTGACTTTAATTAACACCAATGACTTGATATCCTCCCCATGCCCCAAGGATGTCAAATGCTGTTGCACGCAAGCATACAGCGAATCAACTCTTAATTTTCCTGTCAACAAATACTGTTTGAATCAATCCAACAGTAGCCAACTACATTGCTGGTAAAGATGTCTCTGGCAGTGCACATCAGCAGACAGACAAAAGACAATACCTCAGACTGTCACATTCAAATATAAAGATTCTGCTTTGGTCAATGGCAACATTCAGAACATGCAGCTCAAAAATCACAGAAAACTTCAACTGAACCTTGATGCTAAACAAACAACAGTAAGTTGACTCACATTTGTGTTTTATGGCCAGCATATAGCCTAAGCTAATGTTAGTTAAGAGCTGGCGTTAATCAGTTAATATGCATAAAATCGAAGGGCTTGACAAGGTCAGTATTGTAACAGAATTTTTCCATCCAGACTTTGGCATCCTAAATATTCTCTTGTTCATAAACAATCAGCAATGTCTAACATTAGTTGTCTTTCATTGTTAGGTTACTAGCAGTGAAATTAACTTAACATTGCTAATTTCATAATGACTTGTTTAGAACTCGAAAAACAAACCTTAGGACTTGAAACTTAACTTGAGAACTCATATACACTCGAGAATTAGTTATGATGTGCAAAGCAGATACTTTGTATACAGAACGCTGGCATGTGTGACTGAGACACTGAGACAGAGAGAGGCGAAAGGTGATAGAAGGACATTGCTGTAACTCCAGAGGTTTGGCTTTTCCATCTAGTCATGAGTTCTTCTGTCAGAGTCGGATCCAGCAGTGGATTTCAGCCACATTTTAAGGTCAGAAAGGCAAAGTTTAGTTTTGACAGCAGCAAAACCTCAATGTCAAATCTGTTTAGGTGTGATGTTCTTTGCCTTTACTTTCTGGCTAGCTTTTTAGTTGATGACTCAAGACTTGAAGATTCCTCTAGTTTCATCTTGATGCCTTTGTTGTAGTCATAGTAAGTCAGGCTGACAATACGGCCTCAGCCTCAAACAGAATCTCTGTGACAGACTTGTCAGAACTAAGATATGAACTAAGATAAGAACTAATGAGATACTTTTATTGATTCTTGATTGAGTGTCAGGGTACTTGAGGTGACATAACAGTGGCAGCAATTCATGAGACGAGCTAAGACGCCTTGGTTCTGGATCCAGAGATAAGCTTCATTTGATTTTTTTCGCTTCCATCCCTCTGCTTGTGGACGCTTGCCAAAACAGGAGTTTGAACAATGCCACTCCTGTTTAAGATTGTTAACATAGTCTGATATAGTTGAAAGGTACCGCACAACCTCCCTCTCTTCCTTTGTGAATAGAAACAGGTGCAAACTGTGGATTCTACTGTGATGTGAGTTCTGTATTTTTAAACAGGGCACTGCAGTGTAAACTCATGCAGTCATAACTCTCCCTTGTTTGTATGTGTTTGGTTCAGAGTCCATTTGGCCGGCTTTTAATGTTTCTGCACGCCCTTTCCTTCACCTTGTAAGACCCGCTGTTTTGAGTATATACACACACACATACACACACACGATGATGATGATGGCACTGACAGTGATGCTTTTGATTATATTCATGGTGACCATGACAACGTCAGTAAGAATAACACCAGTAGTAAAAAACTGAGCTCATTGTAAATGAATACTAAGCAGTAACCCTATGTCAACATATTCCCATCCCACTTTAGAAATATATTAACAACAGTGTCATAAATGTTGGAGGGAAGTTATTCAATCTCCTTTATTCACTGTGAATCAGTAAAAGTAGGTTACATCGTTTCTATAGCTATTAAATAACATCTCACAAGGAAATGTGCACTACACTCAAGAACAGGGAACTTAAATATAGTTATACTGTAGTTTCCTTGTACAGAATTACTTAACATTCCCGTTTGTTCACTCACTTATGCATTGGTGGCATTGAAAGGGGGAATTACATAGCTTTTGTTAAACTGTGATGGTGACAGAGGTACACAGCTGATTGTTTAGCTTATACTAGAATTTGCTAAGAAATGAGTAAGAAATAGAAATTACTGACAACACCAGTCACCCGTTTCTATCAGTCACTATTTCCACCCTCCTCTATGGTTGACTACTTTACATATACAGTGCCATGGTAACCAGAAATCAGCAAGAGGTATGTAGAGCTGGTTTATTTGACCACATTTACATAGATGTATATGTCATGCTCTGAGTAACA